TTGGTGTAATAGCAGGGAAAATGCTGGGTTTCTTGATCACACAGAGGGGCATCGAGATAGATCCTTCCAAAATCAAGGCCATCATAGAAATGCCACCACCAAGGACTGTAAATGAGGTGTGAGGCTTTCTAGATAAAGTGCAATTCATAAGACGATTTATTTCAAAATTAACCTTAACTTATGGACCGCTATTTGGTCTCCTGAAGAAAGAAAAAAAATTCTAATGAGATGATCGATTTCAATTCGCTTTCGAGCAGATCAAACAGTACCTACGAAACTCGCTTGTGTTGTCGCCGCCAGAGCCAAGAAAGCCCTTGATTCTGTATCTGTCAGTAATGGACATAATAATGGGATGCATGCTTGCTCAGGAATCTGAGGATAGGATGGAGAAAGTCATCTATTATTTGAGCAAGAAAATGTTGGACTATGAGACCCATTACACCCCACTGGAGAAGGCTTGCTTAGCCTTGGTATGGGCTACCAGGAAATTGAGGCACTACTTGTTAGCTCACTCCGTAATTCTGGTTTCAAGATTAGATCTCATCAAATATCTCTTTGAGAAACCAGCGCTTACGGGAAGGCTAGCCCGTTGGTTGCTTCTCCTCTCCGAATTTGATCTGAAGTATGTCACTCGCAAGTCTGTTAAGGGGAGAGCGGTAGCTGAGTTCCTGGCAGATCACCCAGTGGAAAGGGATGATGCGGTATAATATCTATTCCCAGATGAAGCTATTTTGCAAATCGAGGAAAAGATTTGGACAATGTACTTTGACGGAGCGTCTAATCAATACGGGTTTGGGATAGGGGTGTTGCTGATAGCACCCGACAATTCCCATATACCCTTAACCTTCAAACTCCGGTTTAAGGTATCCAATAACGACGCAGAATACGAGGCATGTATCACTAGTTTGGAAGTTGCCCTGGAACTAGGGGCAAAAAGGTTGGACGTCATCGGGGACTCGAACCTAGTTGTGTCTCAAGCAAATGGAGACTGGAAGGTCAAAGAAGAAAAGATAAAGATCTATCACCAAACCCTGGATGTTCTGATTCCTATGTTTGAGAAGCTAACCTACACTTATTTACTAAGAGAGAACAACAGGTTCGCTGACGCTTTATCAACTCTATCTTCTATGATAGGCATCCTGTTTGGAGTCCGGATGCATCCGATCATCATTGAACAAAGATATATGCCGACCTACGAGACTATCGCTGCAATAGATGAAGTCCAAGATCAAAACCCCTGGTATTATGATATCTGGAACTTCTTGGAAAAAGGAGGTTTATCCACTAGGGGCAAATGCCAAAGATAAAAGGGCAATACGACAGATGGCCGTTCAATTTATCATCTGCGGGGGTAAGTTGTATAAGAGGGGTCATCTGGGAATACACAAGTTGTGCGTCGATGCAGAAGAATCGAAGCGCCTAATGGTGGCCTTCCATTAGGGAAGAGTGTGGAGCACACATGAGCGGAGTAATGTTAGCCCAGAAGATTCTCAAGCAAGGTTACTACTGGTCTACCATGGAGGAGAATTGTGTTGGTTTTGTTCGGCGATGCCACAAACGCCAAATACATGCAAGTCGCATGAATATCCCGCCGTCGAAGCTGTACAACATAACTTCACCATGGCCTTTCTCAGTCTGGGGAATTGACTTCATCGGGGTAGTTACGCCGAAAGGTTCAAATGGGCATGAGTACATTCTGGTGGCAATTGACTATTTTACAAAGTGGGTGGAAGCTCAGTCGTATGTAGTGTTGAAAGCAGCGCACATGGCTAAGTTCATCCGAAACAACATCATTTGCCGTTATGGAGCCTCGAATGAGATCATTTCAGACAATGGCTCCCATTTTAAGAAAGAAGTGATTGACTTGTTGGAAAATACAACATGGCTTTTCGTAAGTCATCTACATATCGGCTGCAAACCAACGGAGCTGTTGAGGCCGCCAACAAGAACATCAAGCACATTTAGCAGAAAATGGTTGAGACCTACAGGGACTGGCCAAATAAATTGCAGTTTGCACTCTAGGGCTATAGAATTTCAATCCGGATGTCTACAGGGGCAACTCCTTATTCTCTTGTCTATGGAATGGAAGTTGTTCTGCCAATTGAAATAGAAGTTTCGTCACTGCGGGTTATGGCTGAGTGTCAAATAGCAGAGGCAGATTGGCAACAGAGCAGGTTTGAAGAACTGATGTTGTTTGATGAGAGAAGGCTAAAGGCATTGTACCATGTTTAGGGTTATCAACACAGTATTGTCAGGGCTTTTAACAAGAAAGTTAAGTCCAGGAATCTCAAAGAAGAGGATTTGGTGTTGAAAGACAACCGAGCTCCCATCCATGACCCTAGGGGCAAGTTCAGATCCAATTGAACTGGTCCTTACATCATCAAAACTATCTGGTTGGGTGGAGCTGTTATCCTCATAGACCTGGATGGCCTAGAATTTTCCCAACCGATTAACATGGACAAGTTGAAGAAATATTATCCCTGAGAGGCTCGCTAGGCCGAAAACTCGGAAGGGCGACCTAGGCAAAAGTTAAAGCACAAAAAATTAGAAAAAAGAAAAATTGAGCTCGCAAGGTTGAAAACTCAGAAAGGGCGGCCTTGGCAAAAGTTAGAGTATAAAAGGAGAGAGTTAATACTCGAGTGAACCCAAATCGAACTACGTAAGGCCTGATTCCCATCTTCGGGATACGTAGGCAATTTCATTCTGAAGCTCAGCCATAAACACCTCTAAATCAACTGTGTCCATGTGTTTGATCAAGGCATCTTTGTCTGTTCGTTATTTGAAAGTTCGGTTGTGATCCTTACTCTAAGAGAAGAGTTGACTACAGTGCTGAGTAGTGCTATTCAGTCAAGGGGCAATTTTCCATTTTTGGATTCGAGGTTTGTACATCTTGAGGATAGATTCCACGTGTGTCAAGTTGTGATCCTTATCGAAAATGATTTTGAAAAGTTTTAATAAAAGTTGATTTTTGTTCAAATTAATCTTTTAACAACTTAGATCATTTTTGGACTAAAAGGAAAATTTTCAGTACCCACAATTTCAATTTCATTGATTTCAATACAAAGTTCTCCAACTCTCGATACAAATTAAAGTTGCTTTTATTATATTTAAGAAGAAAACTTGAAAAGTAAGATCAAAGCAATAAACTTGGGGCATAGATGAGTAAGGTGTTCCTTCGTCCCCTGTTTGTGCTTGTGGAATCTCCTAATGCTAAAGTGGGCCCAGATTGTGTCTCATCTTCAAGCTAAGTCAGGCACTCTCCAGAAAGTGCACAGTTGAAACTAGGGGCAAGAGCCAGAAGCTCTCTCGTCCTCAACGCAGTGGGATATCGAGCCAACTGTGAACCTCGGATTGGGAATGAAGCCGGGTACTTTACCCCCTCTTCTGGGCATGTCTGGTCGTGTTCGAACTGACGCCTGAACCAGAATAGAAAGTAGAATACACAGTGTGTCAATCCAATCAGCTGAATGCGAGGTTGCCGAGTCATGCTGTAGCTCATCTTGAGTAGATCAAACTAGGGGCAACGCCAAGCAATGTCAACAGCAGACATGTTGCCTATCCAATGGCACCAACACCCCTCGTTCGGGAATCCACTAGCCGTTGGCGAAAGAAATAGCCCCGTGCGAAATATGCAGGGCAAGAATCCACTACTTTCAACCTGTCCATGAGTCATATCTTGGGAGGGATGAAAGAAAAAAGAGTAAATAATAGAGAGGTGTGTGTTGAGAGAAAAGAGTGAGAAAAGGGCTTTGAGAGAAAAACAGAGCATAAGTGCCGAGTGATGTGAGAAACACATATTAGAAAGGGTGGGAAACATTACCTGAAGAAGTAGTGGACTTCCTGCGAATTTGGTGGTTTTTCGCCGATGAAAGGCGTCTAGACCCGTCAAAGTCTCGACTAGTACCAAGCCCATGCAGCTCTAGCCCTCTTTCAAACCTTAGCCTACTTCGATTAATCGAATATTAAACCCCCCAAAACTAGGGGCAAGGAGAAAATGTGCCAACATGCACAAATAAAGGGCGTGTTGTCGAAAACCCCGCCAAAGAAAATCGCCTCGGTCACCGGCGTCAGAAAATTGATGAATTAAACTGGGGATATCCAGCTCTCCGTTGTGAACCAAAGATCGAGCCTCATGTATAGTGAGTCTACACATCCTTCTCAAAGCTTGGATGTGACCAAAACGGGGCTGAGGCAAAATTTCCTCATCGCGTCAGGATTCCATTAGCACCTGAAATTCTTCAACTGTCGGGGCATATCTCTTGCCCCCCTGAAGCTAAAGACGTGTGTAATCAGATTCCAACATCTAGCCGCGACATGAAGGAACGGAAAACAAATTGGAGAACGACTCAACGGGAATAGTGTATTTATGTCAAAATCCCAGAAATTCACCTTTTCTGAGCCATCCAAAGTTGCAATCCAATCGGAGAGTTTTTCTGTGAAAAATGGCTCCATTTGTGAAGAATTTACAGATAAAATGAAGAAATCACGAAGCTCAGCCTTTTGTGAAAGATAAGGCAGTGAGTGGAAGCCAGGTGTCAACAATGTGGAGGTCCTGTACATTGATGGCCAACAAAGCATCATTGATGGCCGACAAGAGGTATAGATGGCTGACAGACCACCCATCATGGCTGGCATGTGGCCGGTATTCACCACTTACGGCCGGTAGCCTTCCTCTCATGCCTGTTGTCCTCCTTTGTGAAGAATAATGTTTGATGCATGTGTTTTGCTCTGCTGTTTGTGTGTCTTGAGGTCTTGTGTTGAGTCCTTTTTGTTTTTGTTTTTTTAACAAGTTTATCGAGTTGTATTTGTTATTTATCGAGTTGTTTTGCTTATCGAGTTGTATAGTGCTTTATTTGCATGTCAATTGTTGGTCAGTTCGTTACCTGATTCAGACTATTATAACAATACAAGTATTCGGTTTTCGTTATCAAATTCAATCTCATTTTTCATGCAATGCAGTGCTCATGATGCAAAATACAACACTTTTTCAAAAACTTGGTTTTCATTCCGATCATTGTTGTTTTTTACAAAAGGTGCCGTACAAGTTTTTTTAAAAAATAAAACTTGTCTGAAGCTGTACAATGTCCTAACGCTATTAACACAAAGAAGCTAAGAAAAAAAAAAAAAAAAACTACAGAAAATCAACGCAGGTCGCCTCAGGCTCGAGAAGCCCTCTTCGTTCTCTTCTTCGAAGAAGAGGACTCTGCAACACTATCTCTATCGGTGCCACTGTTTGAATCTGGATCAGAGTCTGAATCGGAGCCATCTCCACTCTCTACCTCGGAGCCCTCCTCAACATCAGTATCCCCACTCTCAGAACCCCAGCCAGCATCATCGTCTCCACTCTTGGATGACTCAGCATGCTGACTTATCGTCACCTTGGCCTCACTAGTCTCAGCATCATCATCGCTCAAAATAGGCTTTGAAGGGCCACTCTCAGCTCGGGTGCCCTTAGCTCGGCCTTGGCTGCGTGTTGGAGCCTGTCTCTCTTTCCTTATCGCCGGAGGAGGCACTGTTAGTCCTACTGCTGCTCCTGCTGGCGCACCCGGTATGGGTGGGACCTGAAAAGACAGTTGTTATATGTCAGCCACAGTATGCGTATTAGATGCAAGTATGGGGCAAAATGAGTATATGCTGAAGTCAGGTATAAAATGTGAATACAGTATGGAAGTGCAGTATTTTAGATGCAGTGTATCAGTGCAGTGTGGGGAAGTTCTCATGTCAATTTCAGTGCGTTAGTGGAAATTTGATGATTGGAATTTAAGAAAATTGAAGAAATTACCTAAATGCCATGGAAGCCGAGCAGTGCCTCCCTCCTCAATATCATGCCCTCAAATGAGGCTAGTAGCTCAAGCAGATCCTCGATATATCTTGGAGGTGCCTGTAAATGCATTGGGAATGATTAATGTTTAGAACAAACTAATATCAGAAAGAGATGAGAAGACTAAAAATGTTGTACATACCGGAGGTGTATCCTGGGCTCTGGTGTATCTATGCCCAGCTGTTGTGGGCTCAATCGGGATCTAATAGGCCTCCCTAGTATGCTGTCAACATGTGAGTGCAGTAGGTAACTTTGGCCACCTGGTCACCTGCCTCGCCTGAGAAGCCCCTCTACCACGGGCTTTGCTTGCCCGGGTCGTTCTGCGTCTCGCTCTCGCGGTAGGAGCTCTCACCCCCTCACCCCGCAAACACCGGTCAAAGGTGGCATCAAGTGTGTTTGGATAAAGGCCACGTAGTCGCCCTTTACACGGAAATACTCTGCCTCTAAGCCTACCATGAACTGGATCACTTCTTCGGCAGATAGCTTGTCTGTCGCTCTCATGGACACTAGCGGTGCCATCGGTATAAACGAAGTAGGCAGGCCCATGGTTTGGCGCACGAAGCGCTTGCTTAGGAACCAAGCTCGGCAAATCAGGCCCTCAAGTAGAATATGATAATGGGAAATGCTTCAAGCCATATGAAGCTCTGTTGGTATCGTGGCCCAGGGCTGCCATGTGATCTGAAATGAAAAGTGAACAGGTTATTAGTCGCTTTCAGTTGCTAATGTATGAATCAAAACAGCTGTAAAACAAAAATGACTGTGTTTGGAGTTACCTCGTGCGCTGCTACCGTGTCGAAGTACTGACGAAAAAACATGAAGGGCTCACGAGTCCTACGGTGAAGCTGGCCATCGTACACTCGAGAAAAGGGGACCGTCAATGGAATCTCATCTACAGGCTCTGCGGCAAGAGTCGGGAAGTATGCGTACACCCATAGCTGCAGGGAGAATACAAAGATATGTAATCAACACAGTATAAACAGATGCAAAAAGTGCAAAGTAGAAAGCACATAGTATGAACAGGTGCAGATAGTGCAAAGCAGAAAGCTTACAGTATGAACAGATGCAGAAAGTGTAAAGCAGAAAGCACATGTGTTGAACGGATGTAAAACAAGAAATGCTGAGCAGAAAATGTAAAATGTAAAGAGAGAACTGAGAAGTGTACCTCCCAGGCTCGCCAATAGTCTCTAACCAAGTTCCCTTGCAGACGGGAGGAAGAACTCATATATCCGTATAATGTGGTGAGGCCGGTTTTGCCCCAATAATAAAACTGAACACGAAGAAGAGTCACCATGGCACTCAGCAAATACAGGCCCACGGTATCCCACCTGTTTGAACATAAAGTGGTACCGAAGATGAACATCATGAAGCCCTTGTCATACTGCTCTATCTCCTCTATCGTCTCGGGCTCGGTCCCCCTGAACTACTCCTTGAACCAGGTGTATCGCATCATGCCCGTCCGGTATATCTGTGGATGTGCCCTAAGAAACTCGAGCCAGGTTACCTCCTACTCCTCCATATCTGGGTCAAGAGGGATCGGATCACCTCTTACGTCTAAGCCGGTGATCATGGCAAAGTTGTAAGGAGTCATCGTCATCTCTCCTGTGGTGGAAAAGTGGAAGGAGTTGGTGGTGTCCCACCATCTCTTCACCAGTGCTCCTAAGAGATGATGGCTCTTGGTAACCTAAGTTAAGCTGGAGTAGAAGAGGCCGAAGCCTACATCGTCAACAATGTCACGAACTCCAGCTGGGAACTCGTCATACCAATCTCGAGTAGTCGTCGCACCATAGCCCCTAAAGGCACGAGACTCACCCTGTGGCAGTGCATGAGATGTAATTAGATCAAGGAAGCGCATGAGATGTAATCAGATCAAGGTAGTGTATAAGACATAGTCAGATGAAAACAATGCAAGAAATGAGAATAATTAAATGCAAAAATGCATAGAAACAGAGTTCGTACCTCAATGGCAATGGCCGATAAATGAGACTCTGGCTCCCTCAACAGGAGGCCCTCTGGCGCGTCGTCAGCGAAATTAGTAACACATCTGATGCCTTCGGTAGTGGACAATATGTGTCTGAGGATGATACCTCACTGGATCAAAAGGCCGTACACTTAGCGATAACGGCTCTGGCTCGGCCTTGATGTTCACCTCAAAGTCTACTGGGGGAAGCTTGGGAGGAGTCCCATCCTAAGGCAAATCGTCCGCCATCTGAAAATAGGTGCAAGATGGGTGAAAAGTGAAGAAAAAAGAGTAAACTTGGAAAAGTCAACCCTAAGAGAGAGAAAATGAAGGAAAAATTCAAAGTCGGGAAAAATGCACAGAATTCGAGAGAAACTCAAGGGAAATGAGTCTAGAATGGTGGAAATAAGGAAAGAAGCGTCAAAATCAAATTCCAATCGGTTCAAAGCGAAGAGAACTAGAAGGATTTAGCGAATAAAGTTTGTGTGGGGCGTTGGAAAACGCGTAAAAGGCTCAGATCTAGAGAGGGAAAGCACCCAGAGAGAGAGAGAGAGCATTTTCGGTCAAGAAGGTGTGAGGAAACGAGGCTTGTATTTAAAGGCTCGTGCATGAAAAAACAGCTTTGCCCCGAACTGCTATCGATGGCCGGCAAGGCACCATCGATGGCCGACAAGGCACACCAGTGGCCGACAGGTGGCCGGCGGGTTTCCAAGGGTCTCCTCTGTGTCCCTAGTTCTGTTTTCTGTCCTTGGATTTCAAAATTGAAGGGATTGTTCATTATTGAGTTCAGAATGCCTCTATGGAAGCTCAGAACTGCATTTCCAGTGCACGATGTTCGTCACTCATTAACATAAGTAAGGTGTATCCTTTTGAACATATTGCAACTTTTCCGAGAGGTAGGTAAATCGGAAGTTGTTCTTGAATTGGTTTTGACGACTATTCTTTTGTTGTTGCATAGAATATGTGTTTCTTTGTTGTTGCATGGAACGTGCATTCCACTTAAACTGTCGCATAGAACATGCTCTTACTCTAGCTGCATAGAATGTGCTTCCGCTCTTGCATTATGCATATAACATGCTTATTGCTTTCGCTCTTGAATCATGCATGGAATATATGCATTTGTCCTTGAATCATTCGTAGAAGATGCTCCCGTTACCAATCATGCATAGAATATGCTCTCAAATTGTTTAGTTCGCATAGAACATGCCATTATATCTCAGTTATTGTCTTGCATAGAATATGCATTTTCTATTCGTTACACATGCATAAAATATGCGCTTCTCCATTATTATTGCATAGAATATGCACTTTTCTATTGTTGCATAGAATATGCTTTCATTCTGGTTTCATGCATAGAAAATGCACTGTCGTTACATAGCAAGCTTTTGTACACAGGCACGATATTGTATGTACAGTCCATTCAGAGGAGTTCTAGGTAAAATCATTCGTGCTCTTAAAATCATATCCTTTTACTTTCCTTCCTCTCGCGTGCAACATGTTAGGATAACTCCCTTCGGCTAAAAACATTTGAGTGTGTCTTGATCTTCATACCATCCTTCGGTTATCGTCCTTTTGGTTAAAAACATTTGAGTGCGTCCTGATGCTCATACCATCCTTCGGTTATCGCTCTTCGGTTAAAAACATTTGAGTGCGTCCTGATGTTCATACCATCCTTCGGTTACCGTTCTTCGGTTAAAAACATTTGAGTGCGTCCTGATGTTCATACCATCCTTCGGTTACCTTTCTTTAGTTAAAAACATTTGAGTGCGTTCTGATGTTCATACCATCCTTCGGTTACCTTCCTTCGGTTAAAAACATTTGAGTGCGTCCTGATGTTCATACCATCCTTCGGTTACCGTCCTTTCGGTTAAAAACATTTGAGTGCATCCTGATGTTCATACCATCCTTCGGTTACCTTCCTTCGGTTAAAAACATTTGAGTGCGTCCTGATGTTCATACCATCCTTTCGGTTAAAAAAATTTGAGTGCATCCTGATGTTCATACCATCCTTCGGTTAAAAACATTCGGGTGCGTCCCGGTATTCACACCATCCTTGTATTCTTCCGCGTGTAACGCGTTAGGATCTTGTTTGACATCTCGGGTACGCCCGATGATTTTGTTGCTCTTCGTCTTTCCTGCGCGTCGCGTAGTTAAGCTTGCATAATTTTCTTACATCCTTTCTGCATGAGATGTGGTTTGGCTCGTAATTCCCACGCGTGGCGTGTTTGCTTACTCTTTCTTATGATTGAGATTGTTGTGCCCTATTTTGGTCTATCCAACTATGGCATTTTCATTGCATTACATTTGCATTTAAATGTTTCATTGCACAGTCTCATTGCATGATCATAAGTTATGTTCTTGCATCATGCATATCATTTGCATTTTGCCCCAGAATTATGCTGGTTTGATTCCTTACAAAGGGATATGTAGGCAGCTTGCGGGCGCAACCATTTGTTCTTGTCTTGATTGTTTGTTCATGTCTTATGGCTTTGTCAAAATGGGTCATCTCTGGGTTTTGACATTCACTCATGTCATCTCATGACTCCAAGTTCTGTCAAAGAGGGGCAACTGTAGACATCCCATTTTTTTACGGCCCTTTAAGACTTGAATGTTCTTGCAAGTACATCCGATGATGAGTCTGTTTGATTGCCGAACGCTCGAAGTCTCTAGGGGAATGCCACAGCTTTGAATATTTCAAACCCTGCATCTATTTTGTCTCATCTTTGGACCATGCTTGGGTCTTTTCAGCCTGAAGTTTTTGATGCCCTGTCGGCCATCCTTGGAGGCTGCCGGCCATCACGTCTTCCTTGCCAGCCATTGATGTGCATTGCCTGCCATCAATAAAGCCTTGCCAGCCACCACTGATGGCCGCCCGGCCACCATTGTATGCTGCAGATATTTTGTGATATTTTGTGCCAGTTGCACAGATTCATGCATTTTTCTACACGTGTGTGGCTGGATGCTTGTGAGGGAAATTTGTGTTTTCTATATATAGGATCCCTCTCTTTCATGTGTAGGGGTTAGAAAAATTTGAGATATAAAAATTTTCTCTCTCTAGATTTCTCTCTCTCACTTGCAAAATTGTGTGTGTTTGCCTAGTTTCTCTATACTTTTGCCTACTTCTCCTAAACCAAATCTTCTCACCTTTGAGCTGAGGTTCCTTAGGGCCTTCTTAGAGCTTTTGAAAGTGGTTCTGGCTTGAACTTGTGCCTAAAGTATTCTTTGCTTCAAGAGGTAGAATACTTGTCTTGTTATCTTATTTTCAATACATGTTTTCCTATCTTTTTCAATTGTTTTTTGGGCTGGTTTTGAACTGTAAAAGCTCTATTTTTGTGTCTTAAAGCTGGTGGTTTGAGCCCTTTTTAGTTAGGGAGTGGTTCACCCTTCTTGTTTCTTAGTTTATAAAGCTTTTGTGCCTTTATCCATCACTTTCAAACCTACCTTTTTGGACCTTTTAACCACTGAATTCAGAGATTTTTCAGTGGCAAAAATCTTATTTTGGAGTCCAAAATTGGAGGGTCCCCTCCTTGTGTCTTGTTTGCATACTTAGTTAGCCTTACATATTAGCATGTTTTTCTAGCTTAACTTTGCTTAAGTCCAGCATGTTTTACCTTCTGAAATAGCCTGCTTTAGTTCTATTTTGGGCAGTTTGGTTCATTTGAACTTTGTGTTGTGTATTTGTAGTGTAAATCCTTGCACTAGCTTGTTGTTTTAAGGCTTTAAACATCATTGGTGTGACTTGGCTGCATGTTTTTGGTGCTTTTATCACTCAATTTCAGCATCTAAATCTTTGCAACCTCCCTCTTTGCTTCACTCTTTCATTTGCTTTTGAGGGTTGTTTCAAACTTGGGATCCTTTAAGATTGAGATTGAGGTCATGCTCAATAGTTTAATCCTCTCTGAGGGTTCATTATCAAAGGCATGATCTCTCTGTTGCCTTACACTATCCCTCGGTTGACACTTCCTTCACCTTAGAGGATATTCACCATTTGGACTTAATATGATTAAAGGATGGTTGGTAACTAAAATATGCAAACAAAATTGATAAGTAAAAGAGACAAGATAAGCATCTCTTTGTGTTGCATTGCACGTGTTCAATTCGGACGTTAATTTGAACACAAGGAGAATGAGACATTTCATACTCAAAAGTGATGGAATGTGCCACTTTCCTAGGTCTCCATTGCCCTTGTTGATGTATGATAAGGTAGTTGTCTTGTTGGTCATATTTGTGCATTTGTCGAAATTGTATAACTTGGATCTTTGGCCATCATGCAATGAACTTGCTTGATTGGTGGTTTTTGGATCCAAATGTGTCACTTCTTTGAGATATTGAGATGATAAGGAGGGATACAGTACAAACAAATCCTTGAAAAAACCCTCTTTTTGCTCTGTTGCAATATGATGACCCAGTGCATCAGTGGCTGGCAGCCACCATTTATGGCTGGCAGTGCATCATTTATGGCCGGCAAGACACCTCCCTGGCCGGCAGATGGCCAACAGCATCCCTCCATGGCCGGCAGGCCACTAATGTAAATCTCAGCAAAGATTTGGTAAGGTGGAGCAGAAAGATTCTGGAAATGCCCAAACCTGCAAACAGAGGCTTTTGAAAGTAAAACGAATGTCTTTTCGAGCCAAAACCGAGCATGTGCACCTTCCACTTCTCGGGGTGGAGCAGTGGCAGTATAGTTTAATGTCTTAATTGCTTAGTTTGTGTACATTTGTGTTGTAATTTAATTAATTAGTTTGCTAGTTAGTTAAAGTGTTGTAAAAATTAGTAATTAGCTTAGCTAGTTATTTATTTGGTTTGTAATATTTAGTCTAATTAGCTTAATTAGATTAGCTTAGCTCTTATTTATTCGGACCCTCATTCGCGAGGGCGTAATGTTGTAATAAGTGTGCGTGCGTGTGTGTATGTCTTCCAAACCCACGTCTTTCTTCCTTTTATTTAATCATTTTTGATGGTCAGATTAGGGTCACGTTTCAATTAGCATATCGCATGCTTGCATCCAGTCATTTGAATTGCATGCACCGAGGCTCGGCGCATCATTCTAACTGCATTGTTGTTTCAATAATTCTTTGAATACGTGTTTAACCGTATGTTATCAAATCGATCCATATGCCATGTTTAGTAGCCGAGCCTATTAATTGCATTATTGCATGTGTTGCATTAGACACTTTTGCATAGTTAGGAATCATGCATATTTTACTAACTCATGTTTTCCCAGCTTGGAGTACTAGGTGAGTTTTTACGCTTTAACATACTTACATAAGTGTGTATGTTGCTATGTCCATGAGGTTATCTGCTTAAATGCTAAACTGCATGAATGCTTATGGATGAAGGTTTGTTGTTTGAATTAGAACGATTCAAGGAATGTGCGTTTTAAGCCCACTTTGTTGAGTGGCAAATCATGTTTTAAACCCACTGTGTTTAGTGGCAAATCGGCATCTTTAAGCCCACTTGAGGTGGCAAATTCAAACCATTTTCGCAAACAAACATGAGTTGAACTATTCCAAATTGAGCAAACTAGTCTATACTTGCTTGTGTGCATCACATAGTAAAGCTAGTTTAATAACCGGAATAAGAACGCATAATGTTTATAAAAAATCATATCATGATTAGTAGATGCCGATCTTTGATCGGGTGAGCAGGGGTGCTCAATTCATGACCTTCCCCTCTCGTACCTAAGTTCCCGAGCTGAGACAACTTTGGTGATGATGGACACGTGGCCTTTAGCACGAGTCAGGGTTTCTTAAATTTTTCTAAAATAAAAAATATTTAGGTGGCGACTCTGTATATGACAAAGCAGTCCAATTTTGGCATTATTTGATTTAAAATCGATTTTTCCAAAAAGATTTGCCAAATTTGGACTCTTTGGTGTTTATCAGTTTCACATTGCACTTGTGAGACTAAATTTAGAACCGCATGAGTTCGAACTGTGAGGCCTTCATTTCAAACATTCCGAAAGGGGGCGCGAAAAAAGGCAAGTCCACAGTTTCTAGCGACTTTACTGGGGATTTAGAGAACTTAACTTGAACTTATGATATGTTGTTTTATCTACACTTATGTGTTTCTTTGCATTTACATTTGCATCGGTGTGCCTAAGTCACAATGTTTTCCATCTGCTATTTCTGAACGGTTTGCTGGAGGCTTGCTTGGAAAAACATTCCAAAAGGCTGACCGGTTGCGGGCGCTGCCACGATGGGAACACAACCCTTGGATTTAGACTACCGCTGTACCGTTTGATCCTCCTTTCACTTCTCGGTGTTAGGTGTGAGAGGTATATTAGGTAGTCTTGCTGAGGTACCCTTTTTGACCAATCGACCTAGTTGCATATCCGAAACCATAGAGACTGTTCCAAACTAGGATAGGTTTCTTACCCGAATGCAAGAATTGTATGAAACCGCTTGTTTTGCGTAGTGAACCTCTAGCTCTTGACGAAATTAGGACAGGGTAACCCTACCCCATCATAGACCTCTTGTGCAGCCCTCAGTCCTGTTTCTTGTTTATTAAAATTTGTATTACCTTAGCCTCGCTTCGGCAAGTCGTTCTGCTTCTCTTGCTTTGACGCCTTTGTTCTTAGCGTGTCTTCTTCTACTCTCGTATATTTCTCGATTCTAGCCATAAGTTCCTCCGTACTTTTTGGCAGTGTCTTTGCCAGTAACT